CGTACAATGTCTAACGATGCATGTTAATATGCTGTGAGAAAACAGGAGCTGGTCTGATGAAGTCTGCAGTCGTGATGGTTGATGGTTGGTTTTTCATCGAGATGTGGAGGTGCCGGCAGGTCCTCAATCAACCCTGCAAGCCAAAGCCCTGACGGACTGGGAAGTCCCAGTTGGGAAAATTCCTTTTTCAACATGAAGACACCTGCGGACAGGAACCTGCACTGAGCCCCGGCATTGCCGAGTTCGGCTCACACCGAGTATCAGCCGCCATCTAGAGGCCAATCACAGAACAGCGCAAGGCTGTGGTGCCGGAATCCTGGAGTGACAGAATGAGAGGGACAGAACAAGTCGTTTGATCCATCAATTCTGTGCTGGTGTTTGTTCTACACTTAAACCACTGAGATTATTCTCCATATAATCATTCTCCTGCTCATCCCTCTGTAACCTTCATTTTGTCGTCAAGCATTCATCTGATTCCCTTTTCAAATAATCCGTGGTACTGACTCTCAATAAAAGTTTGCAGTGGGTGTTTAAGAAAACTGTTACACAGTCCCTCTTGGCTTTTGATGAAAAGAAACATTTTGGTTAATTTTACAGTAATCACAAACAGAAGATATTCTTGCCACTGGAGTGACATCTACAGATCCACTACCACTTTGGGAGGACGGATCTTAGGGTAGGACATGACACAGGTGGATAGTGCAGACAAAGGTATGGATGTTCTTCCTGTTTTGTCCAGCGGTTCCCCAGTATCAGTCGGACAAAGTAAAAGCCAACACTCCTGCTCCTTTCTGTTACCATCTGTGACAGCTTGTCAGCCAAAACCAAAACAACTCATATCAGAATGTATAATCACCAGATTCTCAAAGCAACTCTCTTCAAGCAAAGTGTAACGGTAGTAAATCCTAAAAATATTAATCCTTACATTTATCAAATGTAAGGAAGCCTTTCATGTCAGGAAAATGTCTTAAAGTGTCTCACAGAATTTACTGTAAAGTGTAATGACTGTGTATTTTGACAGCAAACGGCAGCCAATCAAACAGCAATGAAGTGAATGATCAATTTTATCTGTGGGGTTATTCACCTGGACTCCCTTCAGTAGCCTGGACACTGGCAAAAAATGTTTATGAATGAAAGTCAAAAGGAGAATTCTCTGCATGGTTGGTGGAGAGATGCAAACAGTAATAAATAATAATTGGGCAAATAGGGGCAGCTATTGATCCCAGGTAGTGATCCATGTGTTTGAAGCTAATATAAAATTGTTGTGCACTTCATAGCTATTTGCAGGCCATCGCTGTGCATAAATTGGCTGCTGTTTTTTCCTAGAAAATACCCAGTCACTGCACTTTACAGGAAATCCTCTGAAGCACTTTGAGGCATCCTCCTGACTTGAAAGGCAATGAATGAAACGTAAGCATTATTATTTACTTATTTCATTTCAGCCTGGGTAGCGGCTTCTCATTGTGACTGCTAGAGGGAGCCCTTTATGACAGTGCTCTGTGACAGATGGGATTAACGTCTGTTAATGCCAGTTCCACCCCATAGAAAGTGCTAAAAGTGTCAGGAAGCAGTCTTGTGAGGAGCAGCAGAGATGCCTGCATTGCAAGGTGTCGTGACTTGGCTGAAAGTGGGAACAAGGCACCAAGAGACAGCAGCAAGCAGAATGAGATAGAACCTTAGTGCAGCAAAACAGGCCATTTGTGTTGGTGTTTAGACACCCCACGAGCCTCCACCCCTCCTAGAACCTTTCCTATACTCCTCTATTTCCAAAAGTGTTGCAAAAATAAGCAGCAAAACAGTATGAGAGATATTTGAGAAATTCCAGCAATGAAGGATGTTCATCAAAAAAGAAATGGAATATATTTATAGTCGTTCATGTAATTTTTTAAACAATAAAGAAATGTTTAACATATCTTTTAGAGTTTTTTGAAGATGTAACTAGCAGGTTAGAAAGGGGGGAACCAGTGGATGTAGTGTATTTCAGAAGGCATTCGATAAGGTGCCACATAAAAAGTTGTGACATAAGATTAGGGCTCATGGAATTAAGGGTAATATATTAGCATGGATCGAAGAGTGGTTAACAGGCAGAAAACCGAAAGTAATAATAATAATAATCCTTGCGTTTGATAGTAGGGATAAAAGGGTCCTTCTCAGATTGGCAGGTTGTGACTAGTGAAGTGCCGCAAGGATCAGTGCTTGGACCTCAACTGTTCACAGTCTACATCAATGACTTAGATGAGGATATAGAGCTTAATGTATCTAAATTCACGGATGATACAAAGCTCGGTGGGAAAGTAAGCTGTGAGGAGGACACAAGGAGGATACAAACGGATATAGACAGGTTAAGTGAGTGGGCAAGAAGGTGGCAGATGGAGTATAATGTGGGGAAGTGTGAAGTTATTCACCTTGGTAGAAAAAATAGAAAAGCAGATTGTTTTCTGGAGGGGGAGAGACTAGATGGTGTTAGTATTCAGAGGGATTTAGGTGTCCTTGTACACCAATCACAGAAAATTAGTATGCAGGTACAGCAAGCAATTAGAAAGGCTAATAGCATGTTAGCATTTATTGCAAAGTGGTTAGACTACAAGAGTAGGGAAGTCTTGCTGTAATTGTATAGGGCCTTGGTGAGACCACACCTAGAATATTGTGTGCAGTTTTGGTCTCCTTATCTTAAAAAGGATATACTTGCTTTAGAGGGCGGTGCAATGTTGGTTCACTAGGTTGGTTCCTGGAATGAGGGGTTTGACCTACAAGGAGAGGTTGAGTAGACTAGGCCTATATTCTAGAATATAGAAGAATTAGAGGTGATCGTATAGAAACCTATAAGATTCTTAAGGGTCTTGACAGGGTAGATAGTGTTAGATTGTTTCCCCTGGTTGAAGAATCTAAAACTAGGGGTCATAGTCTCAGGATTAAAGGTCAGCCTTTTAGAACTGCATTGAGAAAATATTTCTTCACTCAGAAGTTAGTGAATTTATAAAATTCTCTACCCCAGAAGGCTGTGGATGCTCAGTCATTGAACATATTCAAGACTGAGATCGATAGATTTTTAAAAACTAAAGGGATTAAGGGATATGGGGATAGGGCGGGTGAATGGAATTAGTTTAGAAGATCCACGATCTTATTAAATGGCGGGGCAGGCTCGAGGGGACGAATAGCCTACTCCTGCTCCTATTTCTTATGTTCTTATGATAGTAAAAAGCAAAATACTGCAGATGCTGGAATCTGAAATAAAAACAGTCGCTGGGAACACTTAGTAGGTCAGGCAGCACCTATGGAGAGAGGAAATTGAGTTAACATTTCAGGTCAATTACCTTTCATCAGAACTCGTTAAGTTCTGAAATGTTAACTCACTTCCATCTCTCCATACAACACAACAAAATTACATTTATAGAGCGCCTTTCACATCGGGAGGACGTCCCAAAGCGCTGATGCTGCCTGACCTGCTGAGTGTTCCCAGTGACTTCTGTTTTTATTTAAGAAATGATGGTTATATTGCAAATTGCTTTGAGATGTTTGGTCCTGAGAAAGCAGTATACAAATGCTAGTTATTTATTTCCTTTGAAAGTTAACTGTAGTTCAGTGGTTAGAGCACTCGCCTTGCAAGCGAGACACCTGGGTTCAATTCCAGGCAGGGCGAAACCTTGGGCAAGTTTCCTTACTCCACACACCTAATAATAATCCCTCCAAAACAAAACCAATAATAAATTGGTCATTTTCAATCCATGACTGTTTGTGTGAAACTGCTGTGTGCAATTGGCTGCCTCGTTTCGCCCACAAATATACAGTCAATTCAGTTCTCCCCTCCTCGCTCCCTCCCTTCCCTCCCCCTGACCATTTCCCCCCTGCTCGGGTCCTGACCTAACTGTCCAGTGCTTTGAGACGTCCTTCCGACGTGAAAGGCGCTCTATAAATGGAATCTTGTTGTTGTTGTTGTTTATAGTCTATTCTGTGAAGCGCTTTGAGATATCGAGAAGATGTGAAAAGCGCTATATGAAATGCAAGGATTATTATTATATTATTATAACTGAGCATCTGTAGGTGGAGGATATTGGGTCCAAAATGCCAGCCAGCACAAGCTCCCACAGTAGATCGAGATCATCCTCGTATGTCATTCACTCTGGCCTCTCGTGTGACCCTCCTGATGCCCTCTCAGATGGTGTGAGATAACAGGAACTTGCTGTATGAAACGGTACTGTGTCCTACCATTCTGTAGTGCAATATGTCAGCACACTCTGTTAAGAGGGCTAGCCACCAGCTATATCTGTGGGTGTCTGATACGCAGAAACCCGTCACAGTGGGTGTCTGACTGATACGGAAACCCATCACTATGATCAGCCGTGTGTCTGACACACAGAAACCCATCATCATCATCAGTCGTATATCTGACACACACATGGACACACATCACCATAACCACCCGTGTGTCTGACACATGGAAACCCATCACCATGATCACCTGTGTGCTTGACACATGGAAACCCATCACCACGATCACCCGTGTGTCTGACACATGGAAACCCATCACCATGATCACCTGTGTGCTTGACACATGGAAACCATCACCACGATCACCCGTGTGTCTGACACATGGAAACCCATCACCATGATCACCTGTGTACCTGACACATGGAAACCCATCACCACGATCACCCGTGTGACTGACACATGGAAACCCATCACCATGATCACCCGTGTGTCTGACATATGGAAACCCATCACCATGATCACCCGTGTGACTGACACATGGAAACCCATCACCGTGATCACCCGTGTGTCTGATACATGGAAACCCATCACCGTGCTTAAGCATCACAATGAGAATTCCTGGAATCTCTCTCTCCCTCGTCACCTAATCCTGGAATCAAAACACAAATAAATTAATAAATAAAACTCTTGGTTTAGAATTGCAAACACAAACAGTGAGAGAGAGAGACTACAAGTCCCAGAATGCCGTGAGCGGCGCGTCGGTGTCAGCGCGTGCGCAGTGGGACGGGGTGGTCAGCGCATGCGCAGTGGCGCTGGTGGTGGCCGCCGGCGGGTGGCTGTGGAGGCGCGCGCTGCTGCGGGAGCCGGAGTTTGGCGCCGAGACGCCGTGAGGCGGAGGGACAAAAGGCGGCCTCGCTATCAGGTATGTCACCGGGACCAGCAACAGCAACAGGCCGCAGCCCCCTCCTCCCCTCCCTGTCACACACACACTCCCGCCCGCCCGCCCGCACTCCAGCCTGAGGCCTAGTTGCCACCCGCGCGCTAGGCGGCGGTTACCGAGTGCCTGAGGGAGGCGGGCGGGTGGGCTTCAGGTGCCCGGTACCTGAGTAAACGCGGCCTAGAATAGAGACACCGCTCTGTCCCCCTGTGCCCGGCCAGGCTGCCCTGGGCTGGACGGTTGGTGGGGACACTGAGCGGAGCCCGAGGGTTTCCGCCTCACAGCGCCCGCCGGCCCTGAGCCTGTCAGTCAGTCTGTCTGTGCAGCTGTCAACACATAGCAACCCCCCCCCCCCCAACACACACCCTCATCTCCCCCAACACACACCCTCCTCTCCCCCAACACACACCCGCACCCCCCTCAACACACACCCTCATCTCCCCCAACACACACCCTCATCTCCCCCAACACACACCCGCACCCCCCCTCAACACACACACCCTCATCTCCCCCAACACACACCCTCATCTCCCCCCAACACACACCCTCATCTCCCCCCAACACACACCCGCACCCCCCTCAACACACACACCCTCATCTCCCCCAACACACACCCTCATCTCCCCCAACACACACCCTCATCTCCCCTCAACACACACACCCTCATCTCCCCCCAACACACACACCCTCATCTCCCCCAACACACACCCTCATCTCCCCCAACACACACCCTCATCTCCCCCAACACACACCCTCATCTCCCCCAACACACACCCGCACCCCCCCTCAACACACACACCCTCATCTCCCCCAACACACACCCTCATCTCCCCCAACACACACCCGCACCCCCCTCAACACACACACCCTCATCTCCTCCAACACACACCCTCATCTCCCCCAACACACCCGCACCCCCCTCAACACACACACCCTCATCTCCTCCAACACACACCCTCATCTCCCCCAACACACACCCTCATCTCCCCCAACACACACCCGCACCCCCCTCAACACACACACCCTCATCTCCCCAACACACACCCTCATCTCCCCAACACACACCCTCATCTCCCCTCAACACACACCCTCATCTCCTCCAACACACACCCTCATCTCCCCCAACACACACCCGACCCCCCCTCAACACACACACCCTCATCTCCCCCAACACACACCCTCATCTCCCCCAACACACACCCTCATCTCCCCCCAACACACACCCGCACCCCCCTCAACACACACACCCTCATCTCCCCCCAACACACACCCTCATCCCCCAACACACACCCTCATCTCCCCCTCAACACACACACCCTCATCTCCCCCAACACACACCCTCATCTCCCCCAACACACACCCTCATCTCCCCCAACACACACCCTCATCTCCCCCAACACACACCCTCATCTCCCCCCAACACACACCCGCACCCCCCTCAACACACACACCCTCATCTCCCCAACACACACCCTCATCTCCCCCCAACACACACCCTCATCTCCCCCAACACACACCCTCATCTCCCCCAACACACACCCTCATCTCCCCCAACACACACCCGCAACCCCCCCCAACACACACCCTCATCTCCTCCCAACACACACCCTCATCTCCCCCAACACACACCCTCATCCCCCCCACCACACTTCCCCCCCCCCACTCAACACAAACACCTCTCAACACACCCACCCTCATCTCCCCCGCACATACACACATATACCCTCATCTCCCCCCCTCAACTCACACACTCCCTCATCTTCCCCAACGCACACACGCCCACACCCCCCACTCAACACACACACACACCCCATCTTTCCCAACACACACATACTCCCTCAATACACACGTACCCTCACCTGCCCCTCCCTCTCTCCTTCCAGCCAGAATCCAGTGTGTTTGGAACAAATGTTTCATCAGCATTTTGTTCACTTGTATTGACTTTTGTGCATTGAAAAATGTGTGGTGACATTTGGGACTGCGTGTCATTCTTACTCAATCATAATTATTCTGATGTTTGTTCCATCGTTGGATGTGTCAGACCTTACTCTCTGACTGTGTTTACGGGTTCCCTCTCCTTTCCCCCCACCTCGCTGTCAAGCTCCGCCACTGTTAAGAGCTGCGTGACACTGCCCGCCCGTGTTGGAGGGCGCTGTGTAAATGCAAATTGTTTCTGTTGTTATTTCCCAAACTGTACGACCTTATCAGTTTTTAATTTGCATGTGAAAAGTTAGCATTGAAGAGTATTTCTGTGGTAATATTGTAAAAGCTCACCAGAGCAATAGGCAAGAAAGGATGCAATTAACTAGAATTAAGCCATCATCTAAAACACAGTAAAATCTACCATTGGGTGTCATTTTACGGACACGGTGCTAGGGTTTTGTTTCTATAGCGTTTCCATAAACTGTGATTTCAGTTGCCTTTGGAATCTCCTCCAACCTTTCTCTACTCATGTGGCTTTGGTATACTGTTCATTCCTTACTCTCTCTCTCAGCCCCATCACTGTGCCCAAAAGCATCTTGCATCTTCTCTCATAGCCTTCAAAGTCTACAGTGCTTTTAGTCAATGGCTTGACTGCCCATCCTTTCCTCCCTGTTTAGTGGACCTCAGTCATCTTTGGGAAGCACTTAACAATGTTCAACCTATGAGAAAGGTACTGCCCAACTGTTCAACAATTGCATGTTGAATTTCACACTTTCTATTGATAAGACTTTTGTTTTATGTACTTGTAGAATACGTAAAACATTATTATTAGCATGCTGTTATCCGAGGTTTACCATCCACTATGTATTTATTTCCCTGTGAATCAATACCTTTTCCTAGTATTTCTACCAGTGCTATTGTGCTTGGAAGTATTTGAAAGGTGATGCAGGTAACTTCTCATTGCTGCTATCTCTGCGGAACCAACTAACCTCTTGATAAATGGTCTGACTGAGATCAGACCTTTTGTGGATCACATCCATCCAACCACTTAGGAGTGCATGGTTTCCATGTGTAATATTTTTATTTTTAGTGTTCTATATCAGAGGCAAATTGTGGGAGAAAGAAAAGAGACGAGCAGAATGAGTTGAAGAGCAATCCCATTTAATAAATGAATGAAATATGAGTTTGAAGCTTTAAGTGCCGGAAGAACATCCATTAAATATAATACTTTTGTGAGGAGTAGAAAGTGGCACTGTACATGATGCATTTGGGTAGAAGGATTCAGCTTCACGCCTGCAATTGTCCAATGTTTGTGTGGTATCGAACAAGTGTTGGTTACTTCCTCTGAGGAAGGATAATTAGAGGTTGAGGCACCTTTTTTCAAATTCTTCCACAAATCATTACACATTGGGAATGGAAGGTACATATTTAACTCACTACTGTCTGAAATTAATTATTTTGTTCCCGTACATTTGATACAGTGTCTTTCACGTCAGGAGTGGCACTTCACAGGATTAACTGTAAAGTGTAGTGGCTTTGTATTTTGTGGGTCAATGCAGCAGCCAGTTTGCACAAAACAATGTCCTGCAATCCTCTGTGAAGTTAGTGACCAAATTTATTTTGGGGGATTGATGGCCAAGATAGATAGGTATTTGGGTATTAAAGGATACGGGGCAAGGACGGGTAACTGGACTTGAGGTACAAATCAGCCATGATCTTATAAAATAGCAGAACAGGATTGAGGGGCTGAACAGCCTACTCCTATTTCTATATTTCACCACACCTAGAGAAACTTGTTGCTTTTTTTTTCCAATTGCGCCAACTGATAGATAGACAGACGGCACTTAGTTTAACACTTCATCAGAAATTGCACCTCCAACACTGTAGAGTTCCCCAAGCAGGGTCAGCCTGAGGAGTTTAAAGTCCTGACATGGGGCTTGAACTTACAACCTTCTGACACAGAGGCAAGAGTGCTACCAACTGAGCCAGGTTGCTGTATGATATTGGGAGAATCTTAAAATATAAGGGTGAAAAAACATAAAGTGTACATAAAACATACATCTTATGTTTGTTCAGTCATTTAAATATTAGTTCTGAATTTTGTAATGACTTCCAGTTTTTGGCAAAGACTTATTTCAGAATATGTTTTGACATTAACTTATTGAGTCACAGAAGGTTTCCATGACCAGAGTTGCTTGACTAATGCAGGCCAGTGAGAGAAATTGGTACTTATCTCAGTACAGCTTCTATATCCTCTAATTTTTTGTTTCAGTAGGATTGCTGATCTAGTCTTTCATGTTACCAGTCTAAATAGAATGAGAACCTAAATTGTATCTTTGAATATTATCAACAAATTCTTACCAGTCACATTGTTTGGCTCTTAATAGCATGTGATTATAGGAGTTTTGTTGCTCTCTTGAGACATTTCACCAGAAGAAAGACACAGACTCGAATGGCTACTTTTAAGTCACTTGTTACAGGAGATAAATCATAAAAAGCATACGGAATACTGGGCTTTATAAATAGGGGCATAGACTGCAAAGGTCAGGAAATTATGATGACCTTTATAAAACACTGGTTAGGCCTCAGCTGGAAACTGTGTTCAGTTCTGGGCCCCATGCTTCAGGAAGGATGTCAAGGCATTGGAGAGGGTGCAAAGGAGATTTACCAGGATGGTACCAGGAATAAGGGACTCCAATTATACCCCACAGCCACCGAGGGTTCAGAGGGAAAATGACTGGGTGACTATCCGGCACGGTAGGAAGAGGGGACGGGCAGGGCAGAATGCCCCCAATAGTGTAGCACTCTCAAACCAGTACTCTATATGGAACATTGAGAGTGTTGATATCTCCAGGGAGGACAGTAAAAACAGATTGGTTGAACAGGAGGACATAGGTAACAGGAGCAATGCTGTTGTCATAGGGGATACAACAGTGAGAGGTATAGACAGGCGTTTCTGCAACAGAAGATGGGAGTCTAGGATAGTATGTTGCCTCCCTGGTGCAACGGTCTTAGACATCACAGAACGGGTGGATAAAATTCTTCAGGGGGAAGGGGAACAT